GATGGATCATAGTGTGTTCCACCATGTTGCGCAAGAACAAAGTGCTTACACACTATGGGAGAAGCTTGGTAGCATGTATCAAGCAAAAACCGCCCGAAATAAGACATTACTAATGAGGAGATTAGTAAACCACAAGTTACGAGGAGGTATTTCGGTGTCAGAACACACCAGTCAATTCCAGGATCTTGTGAATCAGTTGAGCACCACCGGATGGGTTCTCAAAGATGAAGAGCAGGCGATACTACTCTTGAGCTCTCTACCTGACAACTGGGAGACTCTTGTTGTCACTCTCAGCAATTCTGCTCCTAATGGTAAGGTGACTATGCAGATGGTCACAGATGCCCTTATGAATGAAGAAGCCCGAAGGAAGGAAGCCGGGACAGAACAATCATATGCCTTCGTGTCAGAAACCAACAGACGAGGGGGAGGCATAAATGGAGGAAGAAGTAGAGGTCGAGGTAGAGGCCAAGGTCAAAACAGAGGAAATTCTCAAGTTCGCGGCCGATCACAAGAACGAGGTATGTCCCGTGAAAACAATACTTGGTTTGAAGGATATTGCAACTACTGTGGTAATTATGGACATAGAAAAAGAGATTGTAGAAAGTTTCTACGAGAGCAGCCACAGACGAGTCAAAATACTAGCCAAAAAGATGGTGAGACCATGGTTAGTTTGTCATCAGACGTATGTCTTCTTACACATGGTGAACAAGAATGTTTACATGTAGGCACTCATGATGTTGAGTGGGTGATTGATACAGCCGCATCATTTCACGCCACTCCACACCAGAATTTATTCACATCTTATAAGTTCGGGGACTTTGGAGCTGTGAAGATGGGAAACACCAGTTTCTCGAAGATTGTTGGCATTGGTGATGTGCACATAACAACCAATGTCGGATGCGCACTTGTGTTGAAAGATGTTCGACATGTTCCGGATCTTAGATTGAATCTCATCTCCGGTACAGCTCTGGATCAACAAGGATATCTTAACCGATTAAAAGAAGGTATGTGGAAGTTATCTAAAGGTTCCTTGGTTATTGCAAGAGGCCATATTTGTGGTACTCTGTATAAGACTCATGCAAAGTTGTGTCATCCGAGTCTCAATGCTGTTGAAGAAGAGATATCACCAAACTTGTGGCACCGGAGGCTAGGCCACTTGAGCGTGAAGGGATTGACAACTCTTGCAAAGAAGGAAGTCATTTCCATGGGCAAAGGTGTTGCCCTAGATCCATGCGAACACTGTCTATTCGGGAAACAACATAGGGTTTCCTTCAGTTCTACCAGGAAGAACCATTCAGAGTTACTCAGTCTTGTACACTCTGATGTATGCGGACCCATTGAAGAGGAGTCACTTGGAGGAAGCAGATATTTCGTGACATTCATTGATGATGCATCACGAAAGGTATGGGCTTACTGTTTGAAGAGTAAGGATCAAGTGTTTGATCGCTTCAAATTATTTCATGCGATGGTAGAAAGAGAAACAGGGAAGAAGTTGAAGTGTCTACGTTCAGACAACGGAGGAGAGTACACTTCTCGAGAGTTCTCAGCATATTGCGCCGCATATGGAATCAGACATGAGAAGACGGTTCCACGAACTCCGCAACACAATGGTGTAGCCGAAAGAATGAATCGGACCATTATGGAGAAAGTTCGTTGCATGCTGAGTATGGCTAAACTACCTAAGCCATTCTGGGGTGAAGCTGTGCTGACAGCTTGTTATCTTATAAACAGGTCACCTTCTGTTCCTTTAAACTTTGAAGTGCCAGAAAAGAAATGGTCAAGAAGAGATGTTTCTTACTCTCACTTGAAAGTGTTCGGGTGCAAGGCATTGCACATGTGTCCAAGGAGTTGAGACAGAAGCTTGATCTCAAGTCAAACCCATGCATCTTCATCGGGTATGGTGATGAAGAATTCGGATACCGGTTGTGGGATCCCGAATTGAAGAAAGTTGTACGAAGCAGAGATGTTGTATTTCATGAAAACGAGTTTCATGGGTGTGTTCCAATAATCCGCCAACAACATACTCCAGAAGACGAAGTGCCTGTATCATCAAACATTCCTCTCAGCGACGAGGAGATGCATGATACTACTGAACAAGAGAGTGATGGTTCAGTAGGTGATGATGATACTCACAGTGATGATATTCCTCAGCAGGGGGAGCCTTCATCTGAAGACGAAGCTGAAGGTACTCATGTTCGACGTTCTATGCGAGGCATAGTTCCACAGAGAAAGTATTCCACATCCGAATGGATACTTGTTGCCAGCGAGGGGGAGCCAACGAGCATCGCAGGAACGAGAGAAACAAAGAAAAAGGTGGAGGGGGAGATTTGTAAAGATATTCCACCTTCTTTCTTGGAAGTTGCCAAGAGGCATCTCACACCTTCTAGGAAGGAGCCATCCAACATTGAGGTACTTCAACATCCCTTCATGGAAGTTGCTTGGAGATAGCTAGGAACCTCCCTAGAAATGGGAATGGAAGCTTGGATGCAACTTCCTCATGTCTCCCATATACACCTATAAATAGGGAGTGTATTGTTGTTCATTATCATCAGTTTAGAAAGTGAGAAAAGTGTGTGAAGAGTGAAATACACTTAGAGTAGAAGTGTATTGGTGAGGATTGGTTTTTTGTAATAGTTGACTGTGAGAGTTTGTTCCTCCTATTGTAATTCTGTTCTTGATATTGAATAGAAGAATTTTCCAATCCCAACATTAGGATGACACAAACAATAACTCTGGCGATTATTCCACTTCAATTTTCCGGTGACTCTTCGATGACTCTGAAACTCTGATTATTTTTTTGATCTTGAAAGATAATAAGGGAAGAGATAGAGAAGATAAAAGTATAATGGGATTAATGACAGATGGAGGACGATTATTATATTAAAGATGAAAATGAAAAGTGAGTTGAAGAGAAAAAGAGGAACACATGGTGGAGGAGAAGTGGGACCGTGGGAGGAGAGAAATGTGAAAAGTGTGAGATATAAGAAGTGATGTGGGGAAAATAAAAAAAATGTAAAACTTTAATTTTGATACCGAGTATTATATACTCTCCGTCCCTATAAAAACTCTTTCTTTGATTGAGCATACAAATTAGAGATATTACTCAAAATGAGACTAAAAAGGTTTGAAAATTCTAAAATAGGACTTCCATGTTTTTATTCCCAAAATAGGACTAATAACTGCCATGTTTTGGCAGTACCAGACTTCAAAGATAACAGTATTTTCCAAATTTGGCAGTAATTAGTCCTATTTTGGGAATAAAAACATGACAGTCCTATTTTGGAATTTTCGAACTTTTTTAGTCTCATTTCGGGAACTTTCCCTACAAATTAAGATAATTGAATTATATGGTAGAGAGTTGTGCAGAGAAGAAAAAAATATGTAAAAATGATTATGAATCACAAATTCTTTGTTAAAAAGGGAAACATAAGGTAATTTTTGGATAGATAAAAAAGAAAAGTTCAAAGATAATGTAGAGAGGGAGGAAACATAATGGAGTACTCTTCCACAGGAAGCGTATATAGTACAGCCGACAGTACGGTGAGAACCGTACAGCCGGTGGCATTTTTGTAATTTACATGAAATTCGCGTCTTGTACTAAATGAGCATTACAACACATCTAGTGAGCATGATACATATTCTATTGAGCATTAGTAGCATAACAATGAGCATCGTGATCTTTGCTTTATCTCTTCGAATTTACTTTCTTTTCCTTATTTTTTTCTTTATAAAAACTTATTAAATTATATCTATAATCAACTCTTATGAACTTCAGTATGCGAATTTAATGCAATGTGATACTTTTGAAATATGCATTGTTATGACATTTTACAAATGAGCATAACATGAATACCCGTTGAGCATACATAACTTATAAAATGAGAATTGATATGAAAATCATAAGTACTTTTAATTGAACATCAAGACATTTTCATTGAGCATCAACTTGAAATTATAAGCACCAGTGATTTTCATTATGCGATTGTGATGAGCATCGAGTCTGTTCTTTTGAGTATTTGGAGTCTAACAATGAGCACCAGTGATTTCTGATTCATATCTTCTAATTCAATTTCTTTTTTTTCCTTTTTTCATTTACAACAAATTCTTAAATTATGTTTATAATAAATTTCAATTAATTTCAATATGTGAATCTTATGTAGTATGATGTGTTTAAAATGTGAAACATTTTAAATGAGCATAGAGCAATACCAAATGAGCATACACGACTTACAAAATGAGTATAAAAAAATTCGAAAGCTCACTTGTGTATACTCATTTATTTTGGACGTTATACTCATTTGAGTTTAACATAAAACTCATTCTTAAAGCTCATTTGTACAACCTTTTAAAATGAGCATAAAGTGATTCTAAATGAGCATACATAACTTACAAAATGAGTATCGAAAAATTCAAAAGCTCATTTATGTATGTTCATTCATGTTGGGCGCGACACTCATTTGAGTTTAACAAAAAAACTCATTTCTTATGTGTTCAATATTCAATGTGTATATTCATTCCTTTTAGACATTATACTCATTTGAGTTTAATATTAAACTCATTTCAATACAATATGACAGATCCACAAAAGCTTTGAACTCCTTTCCCTTCTTCTTTCTATAAGCCAGTGCAGAAACAGGGGTGGAAGAATCTGAACTCAGGTCAAAAGTGATGTCAATCGATCGGAGTATGTGTATATGCGCAAATCGATCGGAGTATGTGGCGGCTTGGTCTGCTTCGCGAGTTGGAGACCTGGACAGTTGATGTCCGTCTTCTTCGATGTCCTTCGTCGTCCTCGCAGATGAGTTACAGCGCAGATTATTTACAAAAAAACTCGGTTGTACCATGCGCACTGTATGATTGATTTGGAATAAATTTTTACTTTTTTTAAATGTACAACATGCTCCAATTTTTTTTACTCAAATGCCAAAATTCCAGATAAAATTGGCCGCCAAGAAGAAAAACAAAAAGGAAAAGAGGTCTCCGCATTCACAGTTTCACACTGAATATGGAATGGTATTTGATTGAGCGAATTCCACGTCTAATAAATCTCCCGTCAGGTTGACAATCAAGAACTCCTTTTCCTTTCTATAAATATAATAAAAATGATTTTTATATTTATGCTCCGGCCGGGTAGATCCGCTTGAAGGATGGGAGGTTGTGAGTAAACATGGCGTCATCGGCAACAGCTGCTGCTAACCCAATGAATAAGATCGAGAGAGCGCACCAGATGTACAGAGAGGGGAGGTACGAGGAAGCACTGGAGTTCTATACAGAAGCGCTTTCTCTGGCCAAGACTAAATCACAAAAGATCGCCCTCCACAGCAATCGAGCCGCTTGTTTCCTTAAACTTCTCCTTTTCAACAAGGTATTCTGCTCGATTACTACTCAGTATGTATAATATATTCCCTTTGGGGGTGAGTTACTGTTTCCTAGCTTTTAAAAATATAGTATTACCTTATGCAACCCCATTCATTCATTGGATGATGGTTTCTCCTGGAAGAGCTTTTGTACCTATTTGAACCCTGGCGTCCTGGACCTATAAAGCTTGCGCCTTGTGATTTATTTCAAAAGTATATATGTTTGCTTCATTGCCCAGAAGGCCAAACTCCTCCATCACTAAAAGTACATAAAGGAACTTGGTATTGTCTCTTGCTAGTCTACTACTCCCTCCCACAAAGATCAGCTAATTTGAAGTACATGTGGAATAATAATAAAAAAATGTGTCCTTGAAATTCGCATAAACGAGAGAGAAATAGTATTTTTTAAGGAGAGAGAGAAATAGTATGAATCACAAGTTTATCACTTTAAAAGGAATTGACACAAATTTCCCAAAATTATTACTTTAAAAGGAAATGACACATATTTATTACTTTAGAAGGAAATCACAGACCTTTTTGGGACTGCCAAATAAGGAAAGCTGTTAAAACTTTTTTGGGACAAAGGGAGTATGAGAACTGGCACGCAAATACCAACAGAAAAAGCAGATTCTGTTTGCATTATGTCGTGCTTCTTGATATTTGTTCATCACTAAAACTTGTGTGAGATACTGAGATGGTCTCATAGACTTCAATCCGTTAGAAGTTAGAACTGTCACTTTTATCCTAAAAACTGATACTTGAGCTACGGGTTTCAATATAAGGAATCCAAAGTGGTATGCGTTCCACTTCAACAGTTCAACTTAAAGTTTAAGCTATTAGTAAAAATTAACAATCACTTTATATGTAAGAATGTATATTTTATACGCCTCATCTGTGTGGTATGATTTTATTTTTGCAACCTATATATGGTAAAAAAGATTTTGATATATTGATAAAGGCATTGATGACTAAGATATTAAGATGTAGAAGTGGAACTAGGATACTTGATACCTTGTTCAAGTATGTGGAAAGAATCAAGTAGGAGTTAAAGATTGTTCTAAGTGTACATGTCTTTATTTTATATTTATCCTCAACATGTCATATCAGAGTTAACTTCCATCATTTGCAATGGAGCCAAAGACTCACCATTTTTTTGGCTTGGGAATATGATGAAATAAAGCAAAATGGCTTACTAAATTGTCTGCGCTTCTCTATTCTTTGTTATGAAGCAGCAGTCAGTCCATGCAATTTTCGGCGCGATTTTCATTATGGGTCATCCGAAAATAGTCTCTGATAGAACTTTCCAATTGTACAGAAAAATCACAGAAAATTATCAATAGAAGCAACTGCAAGTTTTATTGATGATGAACAAGAAATGGCCGAAGCCCCCAAATGAGCCGTAGCCCCCCAAAGAAAGAGAAAATTCTCGATCTCCCAAGTCCCAGAATAAAATGTCTACAACAGCCTCCTTGACTTCTCCCAACTTATTCTCTTTATACTAATCTAGTACACTTCTTATTATACTTGGTTTAATAGGCCCACCCCAAACAGTTTATTAGGCCCAATTCCTAACAATACTTCCCCCCAAAACATCCACCTTGCCCTCAAGGTGGGTAATATGACACAGCTACCATCTTCTTCTTTTCCTTCATCCTAGCACCTCTCCCTTTCCAATACTGGATGGATTTCTGGGTTTTGAGCTTTGCTGCTTCCATCTTCTTTCCTATGTTTTTCACAGTAGAGTTATACAGATGCCATGACCTTTCTTTTAACAATTTGGTTCTTTCAGGTTCTGTAGATGTGAAGATACATCCTGCTGCAGCACCGAGGACAGCTACTTCTTGTTTTTTAACACCTTCTTTTTCAATATCAATGGATAACTCTTGATAGTTCATCAATGTTCCTTCTCCACTCTTAGTTATCAGGCTCTTCATCTCCTTATTTATTCGTATTGGTTGATCTCCTTGTAAACTAACCTTCTTCCCCTGTACTTCCCATTCGATGATTTGATTTTGAAAATTAACTGCCATATCTCCCAGGCCAGTTAACCACTCCATTCCCAGCATCACATCAATTCCATCCAAGTCCAAAATGTAATATTTCTGCAGTATGTCAATTCCTTGTATATTCAATGTTACTCCTTCACATCTGCCATGGTTGGAAAGGAATTCTCCATTCCCTATCTGCACTTCATAACCCTGAATACAACTAAATGGTATCTTCCATTTATCCAAAACCTTCTGTGATATGAAGTTGTGGGTAGCTCCACAATCAACCAAAATATTCACCTTCTTTTCCTCATTCAGCCATTTCAGATTTCCCAGGACTTTGAATGTTCTTATGAATGGTATTTCTTCATGGTTCAGTAAAGATAACTGCATAGTCTTAGCTTGCATATGTAGTCTTCCTTCTTCATTATCTTTATTATAATCAACATCAGATTCCTCCTCCCCTTCAGATTTTTCTACCATCCTTATTTGAAAATTTTTCATTCTACAATTGTGACCCCGCTGCCAGTTTTCACCACATTTAAAACATAATCCTTTTTTACTTCTTTCTTGCAGCTCATTCTGTGATAATCTGGGACTCATATTCTTAGAGACAGAACTTGATCCTTCTCCGAGCTTATTATTATCATCTGAATTCTTCATCACTTGATTCGTAGATGTCAGATTATAACTATTTCTACTACCGTCTCCCCATTTATGATAGCTCTGTCCCTCTGCTGAATTTATTTTCAAGACTTTTTTTTCCTCATCTTTATTCTTTATGATGTTGGCTTCATGGTTCTTGTTTTCAATCAAGGAAGCTGTGTCCATGACAGCAGCTAGGGTTCTTGTAGGATATAATTTCAATTCAGCCCTTATATTTCGTTTCAACCCATTGAGGAACACTCCTCTAAGTACCTCCTCAGTCAGATGCCCCTGCGAAGCTATAGCAACTTCAAATTTATCTCTGTACTCCTTCACCGTCCCTTTTTGCTTCAAACTAAACAAAGATCCCAGAGGATCCTGCACCAAATCAGGTTGAAAACGTTTGCTTAGATCCTTCGTAAAACTCTCCCAAGTCTGGTGACGAGCCTGGCCTTCCCACCATTGGAACCAGCTCAGTGCCTGATCTTCCATGGCTATCACGGCAACATCAATTTTGTCTTCTTCCTCCGTATGATTCAGGCGGAAATAACGATTCATTCTTACCAGCCATCCCATAGCGTCTTCTCCGTTAAAAATTGGCAAGTCGATTTTTCTTCCAGTTCGTTGGTGGTGATCTTGTCCCCTGCGGCGATGACGGTGGTGCGGTGGTGAACGGTTGTCGTTCTCTTCCGAGTTCTCAGAACTCGCTGAGTGTCGCGATTGATGATGGTGAGAAGTGCGATGCGATGCAGATGAGCGATGCGATGCAGATGAACGATGCGACCTACTCCTCGATCGATCTCGATCATTTGCATCCAGTTTGGCCATAATCGCTGCCAACATCTCCGTCGTTTGACGATGATTCCTATCCACCTTATCGTCCAATCTGTTGTGGTTATTCTCCAACTCATTCATCCGCAAGTCCATCTTTGTCCGTGTCCAGACCATCCACAGAATCAACCTCTCTGATACCACTGATAGAACTTTCCAATTGTACAGAAAAATCACAGAAAATTATCAATAGAAGCAACTGCAAGTTTTATTGATGATGAACAAGAAATGGCCGAAGCCCCCAAATGAGCCGTAGCCCCCCAAAGAAAGAGAAAATTCTCGATCTCCCAAGTCCCAGAATAAAATGTCTACAACAGCCTCCTTGACTTCTCCCAACTTATTCTCTTTATACTAATCTAGTACACTTCTTATTATACTTGGTTTAATAGGCCCACCCCAAACAGTTTATTAGGCCCAATTCCTAACAGTCTCTCTGTGCTTCAGTACTATGTTGCACGGAAACGCGAAAATCACGAGGAAACAGGAAACGAAAACGTCAACTTTGGCTCAAAAAGGCTTGTTTTGAGAGTTTTGGTAGAGCTTCCGTAGAGTTTCGGAAATGTAAACGTACTCTTACTCGAGAGATTCCATGCTACATAGCTTTAGTACAGGGGTAAGACTGCGTACATCCGACCCCCCTTACCCCACCGAAGGTGTGGGAGCTTTTGTGGGACTGGGGTAATGATGATGATGTCATATCAGATTTAGATTAGAGTAATGCATAAGATGAATTGTGACTATTCAATATTTCACTTGCATTTTCACCCAAAAGCGTTGCACACGGACAAGATGTGTTGTTATACACAATCTAACCTTTATACAGTGTGATCAGTTATGCAATATACTAAGTACTATCTTACATGGCATGAGATGCGAATGCTTTTTATATAACTATGCTGCGGTTAATTAAAAAGAGTTGGGTAATTGCTGCAACTACTAAAGAGTGATACTCAAATAAAACTATTTCTGACTTTGGAACTAAACTGAAATGCCTGAACACTTCTATTGAATGTTTATAACCCTGGTCATTTTTTTCTACGCTAATTGAATTCTGAGAGATTATTCATTTTTCTTTAGGCAGCAGATGAATGTACCTCAGTTCTTGAGCTTGATCACAAACACACGGGAGCGTTGATGTTACGTGCTCAAACCTTAGTCACTCTCAAGGAATATCACTCAGCACTTTTTGATGTTAACAGGCTCATTGAATTGAATCCATCATCAGAAGTATATCAGAACCTTCATGCTCGCTTAAAGACACAGCTGGTAATCTCTTAGCATTCTTGAACTTTGTTCTATTTCCCCACACTATTAGATGGAAACGGTAGAGTGTACTTAATATCCCTCAATGGATGTGCACTAGACCACTACTTACAGAATCAAATATACCATTTTGTAAGAGATTACAAAACCTTAATAAATAGATTGAGGAGGCTCTTCATTTCAAGAGACAAAACAGGGATGCATTTCACATGTTCTTTGTTTTGTGAAGAGTCTCTAGTCTCTACACAGGAGTCTTCACCAAGTTAGTCCAAAGTTATTAGGTGGTCTCAAGTAAGTCAAAGATTTGAGATTTGTTATCCACCTAGATACAGGTGATATGTATCCAAGGCATATAAAAAAGTTCAAGTTATGAGATATGTGCTGGCCCTGGCTGTAAATATTTTTCCGGGTGAACTTTTGTCAAGAACGGTACCGAAGAAGGGCTGTTTATAGTATTGTGCCATACTGCCATATCTGGCAATATGGCACGTATGGCACAATACTATAAACAGCCCTTCTTCGGTAAACTGGTAGATGAAGAACGTGAAGGACTGAAGGTAGTTGCCAGATATGGCAGTATGGCACATTACCCTCACATTAAAGCTATTTCCGAAGAGTTTTTCGAGTAACACTTTCCTGATTGTTTTATCAACCCTCCTTTATCCTGGGGAGTCGTTCTGCCCTAAAAAAAAAAGAAAAAACTTGACTATCTCGATTCTTGAGTGGTTATTGACGTAACTTTAGAGTTCTTGTGTCCTATTGGTTATGGGCTCCAGTGCTTCGTCCAACACTTGGGGAATTCTTTCTTTTATGCATAGATTTTAGGCTTTGAGTCAACTACATATGCAAATCCTACCAAACCTAAATTTTATCCTCAAAGTCTAAACATTCGACTCTATTTCTCCATTCTCACTCATGGCAAAAGAGGTTTCTTGATTGAGTTTTTATTCGTTTATCTTAACTCTCAAGGCTTATTATTTTCATTTTAATTCTACCTTAGTTTTGTTTCTTTCTTAAGTAATTTCTAATTGTTTCTTTTTCAACAATTACGGAGTGTTTCTTACTGAATTGTGTTTTTATTGGTGGTTTTCATTATTCTGTATATGTATTTAATTAAAAACAAAATGCTAGTGTTAATTATTCTGTATATTTAATTAGTGTTTTTATCTCTCTCTAATTAAAAAAAAGTTGTTATATTTCATTCGACTTAAAAATACCAATACAGATGATGTAAATTCTAATTTCTTATTGGTATAGATCATCCTATCTTTTTCTTACACACAAGGTCTGATAAGCAACGCCATATTTTGAATGGGAACTTTTAAGTTTTAATCTTCACTCTTCATTTCGTAATCAATGAATTACATCCACAAGTTTCATTCTTGTAACTATCCTAAATTTGTAATTACAAAAGTGACACCTAAGTTAACGGTACATTAACTTGGAAACGATGGGTGGAGAAGAAGTTCTCATTTAAGAGATTCTATACATGGACATACTAACCTGACCTACATTGGTTAGATCTGCTCCTCCCCCAAACCCCAACATGATTCAGAATTTTCCAACTACCTTGTTTGATTATGAAATGGCCATAGTTGTCATGGTGTATGGAGACAGTAGACCAGTAGTCACGCCAAGGCATTTGTCCATGGCGATGGCGCATTTGTGGCATCGCCACATGACGCAAAAAATAAATATTAAATATATGAACTATAGACACCCTAAATAACAAATCTATGATTCAACCACCGTAAGATGAGCAAGAAAGTTGAATACCCACATTCTAACCGAACCATGTGAAGTTAAAATAGTTTAAAGTAGTTCCAAAAAATAACTGAATATCCCAGAAAAGTTCAATGTCTTCCAAAATTTGTCAACTTGTTTGTGTTTGATTATTATGATATAATCATCATCAATTATCACTCATCACCATCATCTGGATCTAGATCATACAACATTGTAACGTCATCGTCATTCTTTTCACTCAATATCAATCTCATCTGTTTCATCTCCGTCTTGTTGTTGATGTGTTGTTGTTTCCCTTTAGTTGTTCCCCACTTGCACAGCTTTCTTACTCCGTCTTGATGTTAAATGAGCAGTTTTTCTTGGTTTACGTTAGCTGGTGTCTACTTAATTCTTATTAGGGGTTTTATTAACATTATAGGCTGACTGGTTAATTGTCAGGGCCAAAGCCCAAAACCATTTACATAAAGCTGTTGAGAATCTGTTTAAAAATATGGTGCATGGTGTGGAAATGGCGCCAGTATGGCGCTGCCACTTGTAGAGTCATCGTCATGAGGGCTTTTTTGTGGCAATGAGGCTTTGTATCACCATATTGTGCCATTGACAACTATGGATGTGGCATTTGATTTTCAAGCATTTGTGTTTGTATTCATGTGCGTGCATTTCTTTTGCATTGTTTGGGCTTAATGTTCATGTTCAAGTCTCCGTGCTCATACTTTTACATTGTGTTTTGTGTGGTCAGAGATGTCCAACATATGTTAGTATGGTTAAAGAATGGTCGTTATGTGTCTGTGTGGTGACTGGTGAAGGATGATTACCATGTGTTTGTGTGTTGCAACTTGCAATCTTGGAGTATTGAAATATATATTACATGGTCCTTTTTTTATGAAGAATCTATACATAAGAGTCCTTACCAAGTTAATCCAAAGGTCTTAGTTAATGTAAGAGTCTCTCAAGCGAAATGTGGTTTGTGATCCACTCATCCACCTATATATAGGTGCTATGTATCCAAGAAGGATGTAAGTTCATGCTGTGAAATATCACCAAGTCTCTTGTCATTCAATATATGATGTCATTATTTTGGCAAACTTTAAATGGCCAAATTTTAAGAACATGTGCAAGGTCATTGAATCATGTAGGTCCTTGATTTGTGTTGCTTGAAACATTGACTCGTGGTGGATGGGTGCTTGTACATTAATTCTGGACAGTTCACACAAAGCCCCAACCTTATTTCAGCAATGATTTTTACTAGAATTATTAAACTTTGATATTGATGTTAAAAGATTATTTTGTGGTAGTGTTCTGCATCATGTGGATTATATTTCCTTTTCTCTATAGCATCGCGTGCCTCTAACGTATAAGAGACCATTTTGCTCTTGTTTAAGGAAGTCGCTTGCTCCAATACCTGAAGCTGAGGCAGAAGAGCTTGAGGAAGAAGATGAAGAGGACGGTGATGATGAAAACAATGCTAAACTAAAAGATGATGGAGGGCATAGTAATAACAATGAATGCAACATGAATGGTGATATTGGAAAAGAAATGGTAGATACTCCCACAGACAAAGTTACCTCTCATTTTGGGAAATCAGTTGAACAACGTGCAGGATGGCAAGCTATCCCACAGCCAAAAGGACACTCACGCCTTGACTACTCTCGATGGGACAGGGTTGAAGAAGAGTCCAGTGAAGATGACGATGATGAAGATGATGATGATGAATCAGATGAACCTAATCCTCAATATAGGTTTAGAGTTAAAACAGTTGGCGTTCGAGCTGTTAAATGAGAAAATAAAAATGATTCGCATGCTAGTTACCATTATTCATTTTTTTCAATGACCTTTTGCATAATCCATCCATTTAATTAATTATTATTATAGTAAAAGGTGTAGTTAAAATTCTTTTTTTTCCCACCAAACTCTGGTTGGGTCAGGCAAGACTCGGGTTGGCCCACCCTGTGGCACCAGTGCCATATGAGCTATTGTTATCCATACGGGCTTCAGTGTTGCTGGTCTGTGGTCTGTAACTGATGTGAATATGCAACTGGGCTGCTGAAAGCAGCTTGTGCAGGATCCATTTTTAAAGTAACTGGAAATTATTGGTAGGATCATTTTAAGTTGCAAATGGTTTGGATATGCCTAGCGTGTATCCTTTGTGATATTGCCAGCCGCATACTTTACTGCAATCTGCCATGAACAGATTGACTAGTGCTTGAAAATACACTTCTGTAAATGATGAACATCATTGGTCCCTACCCCTCCAATTACATTGTATTTAATATACTGTTTAGTGTACCCACTATATGTGAACTTTCAAAGATCGTTTGTAATAACTATTGTGTGTAACAAATAATAATGTTATGACGTTATTAGATTGGATGCAACTTATATTAGAAAAACATAAGAGGTCCTATACTCCTATACTATGTAACTATGTTAAAGCATACTGACGCATTAAAGAAGGCTTCACTACCTTCACGTAACATAAGTGTTCCTTGGATAAAGTGAAGAAGAAAATGCTGAATTATAGACTAGAAGAGTTGAACAAAAAGAGATGGACAGCAGAAAAAGTGGTGCACCACACCGGAACGGTGGAAATGGAAAGGTGAAAATGCATCTTACTCCCTCCGTCCCGCTATTAACTTCCTACTTTGACCTACATACATGTTTAGAAAATAAATTTGACTTTACTGTTTAGACACTATTTGGTACTGTTTAGACACTTTTTGACACTGTTTGGACACTGTTTGGAACTGTTTTGCATTGTTTGACACTGTTTTGATGTAGGATAATTTTCCATTTAGGGAAATGAGAAGATGATTTTGGGACGGCCCAAAAAGGAAAGCAGAAAGTTAATAGCAGGACGGAGGGAGTATATGATAATGTCATTTACATCGACCACTCTTTAACCACAAGTAGAGCAAAGCTCTACTCTAAGAACACTAATCACATAATCACAATTAGAGCACTACACTCATACTACACTAATCACATTGTACTTGAAAGCTTACTTGATTTGGACATTCTTCCTCAATAAAGTTCTAAGATTATAAGTGTTAATCAAGAAAGGTTAGCGAGTTTGATGGTATTTGTTGAACCATATACTGAAAATCTTATCTATCTATCTATATACAAAAGAGTGGAAAAATAGGTGAGTTTCCCGCCCAAAAAAGTTGGAAAAACAGGTCAGATTTTTTAATTTGGGTCATGGCAGTTATAGCTGTGTAGAATAGTACATTTACATTTATCGTTAATTTAATTGTTTATCAGACCAGGATCACCATAACACCAACACCTTGGAAACAAAGCATTGTCCGTAGGATAGAGAAAGACAACATCCCACTACGTTATTGTCCACCAGTTTTTGTACCATACAACTTTCAACACTTGACAAATAAGTGATTCGACAAAAAATTCAAATCAACTCCGTATTGGAAACAGCACCTTGGAAACAAAGCATTGTCCATAGGATAGAGAAAGCCTACTACTTCATACTAGGCTAAATAGTACGGTGTAAGTGGTACATCCTAATACGGAGTATTCACTTTCCTTTAAAGTAAATATACTTTATTTTCATAAACAAAGAATCAAATTTATTTAAATACAAATATATAATTGTCCCGTGCATCGCACATGTACAATACTAGTTATATACAAAAGTAAGTGGAAAATTGGTCATTTTCCCACCCAAAAATACACGTCAAATATGGGCCAATTCATTTCATTAATTATATGTAGGTTAAGAAGTACTCTCTCTTTGCCCAATGTTTCTTGAAAATGATGGATGAAGCACCCACACAACATGTTTCCTCATTAGATGCTTCACTTTTTCAAAGTTTTATGATAATATAAGAAACCACTTACTCCCTCCGTCTCAATATAAAAGGCACATTTACGTTTCTACACATTTTAGGGTGAACACTGTTTGACACTGTTTAGACACTGTTTGACACAGTTTTGTTTGCCAAAAAGGGAAATATGCCTTTTATATTGGGACGGCCCGAAAAGGAAAGTGTGCCTTTTATACTGGGACGGAGGGAGTATTATTTAAATAGAGTAATGGGTCTTTTCATTCATTGGAAGTTTGGAACATCTATTTTTAAAGTATTTAGGATTCTAATTATGATACATATCTATCCACGGCTTAATATCCTTTGTTCAAATAATAATCTTCTTTGTGTTTCCAATCTGGTCTTTATGTGTTCGTATTCCCTTTTTATACAATATATTATTTTTATTATATTGAATCTATACATAATATAAAGAATTTATGTCCCGTGCATCGCACGGGTGTAAATCTAGTACCTTAAAAAAAAGGTATCCACATTGTCATAAGTGCACGCAAACCCGGGTTGGTTCCGGTTTTTAGCCATTGTTTCAACAATGAAAAATGAAACATTGTTCCTATTATGGAAGAAATGGAAGCAGTCCTGTTCAAATTTGATGCCAAAAATGGGGCACCTGAGTTATAATGTAATAGAGTTAGAAGTATGTGACAAAAAAACGAGCAGTGTGATGAGAATAAATCTTTAGAGTAAATCTTTTGATGAAAGATTTACTCGGTCACCTACTTGTGCATCACAATCTGGAGTTAGTTGCAAGCAATCCATTCTTAATATTTGAACTGAACTGACATCTGCAATCCTCTGCCAACATGAATGTATAACTCCCATGAGCGCTATAACAATTTAATCTACCACAAACTTCGTGTGGGAATTGTATAGGAGCAAGCTTACGAAACACAAGCTGAGATTGCGAATTTACACCATTGTTACACTCCTCGTCTACCTCAATCCTCAATCCCTCAACATCACCAGCAAACTTAGGCACATGACAAATATGCTTAAACCTCTGAGGATATTCACTTATTCAGGGCGAAATCCATCCACAAACTTATGAATGCCACAAGCATGGTATGCGAATAGTATAATCAAGAACCCCCTCAGCAAAGCAATATCTTCCCTCTTTTTAAGAATATCTCTGCAGAAAGCATCATTCTTGATATGATGCATAAATGCATTGTATCCTCAATGGCATCATCAGAAAAAGTATGTTCCTCCTCATCAAGTATTTGTATTTGTACCTATAAATTTTTTCACAAAATCCCAGCCTTGCATGATTTTCTCACGGAATAACAACAAAATCTGAAGTATCCAGAACTCTTTTCAATAAATCAAATTGCCTTTGCACTAGATCAAAATGGTTTTGCTTTGAAAAAGGGGAGATGTGAACATCTGCAAGATCAGGAGAATCTAGATTTCCCAGAAAACTCTTTGCCATAGCAATAAGGTCATGCCTTTTTTTTTCTCTCAATTTCTATAGCTCCATGATGAAACATTTACCAACAAATTCTGGAATGGGAGCCTTCCTCATGAAGCCAATCCATTGCTTCCATCATTGCGGAAACAACGACCAGAAAGAGTTGGTGGGGTTCTGTTGCACGAAAAGATTCCACTTCACTTTGCAACTCTTCAATTCCACTTCACCAGACTATGTAGACTATCTTTACCCACAGGAGCTTTTGCTGTAACAGTGCAATCCATTGTATCCTACTCAAGATACTCATCTTCACAACTCCAGTACACTATTAGAATGATTAGAAGCTGCCTCATCATAGTAGCTAGTCATATTAAAAGCAAACAGATCTTGGACTTCGAGAACATGTTTGACGCAGTAATCTTTCTTGATACGAGCTATCCGTTCCTCAAATTTTTCTTGCAAAAATTCCCTTGAAAAATGTGCTATCATGTCGGTCAGGAAACATTCCTGGACCTCTCTAATGCTTTATACAAAACGCAACTTAATTGTTCATTTTGCCAAATATTTTTCAGAGCTTCAAACTGTTCTCGGGCAGCAAATCTTGAAGTGCCATTTTCAGCTAACACATCTTTATCAAGAGATTGAAGTATCTCTTATCCCATCTTTACAACTACGTGATTCTTGGCCATTTCAGGCAAACTCTCTTCCACAACCAACTTCCTTCTGATTTTTTCCTTCTTGGTTTGTTAAAGATTTCATTAGCTGAATAATTAATTTTCAATCTATTCAGATTAATCAGAATAATTGCACACATTCAAATTAATCACAGTGACTTTTTCCCAAAACCCTTCCCAAAAAAATGATTTGGATTTTACCTACCTGGTAAATCCCTCTATAGAGGGAGAAAACTACTTGTCATATAGATAGATACAGCTCCTTTTCATTAAGGGCGGAAAGATTGAATAAAATAAATGTTTTGGCGTAAGGAGATGTTGCAGCTTCTACATATATGGTCAGCGATGATGGAGGTAGAATCATGGCCTGTCTCCTCCACCCAAATGCACCTGCACTAGTGTTTTAACAGATTTGGACGCCATCTTTTACCAAGGTTCTGAAAAGGCACCATTTTACTTGCTCGTCCTATGATGTGGACCAATTTTTTCTAATGTACAAAGCACTCATCGTGGATTTCGGGCCAAAGATGTGCGGATTGAAGGTAAACTCCCCCACCTGCTTAATTACATATTTATGACTAAAATGATGATTGTTTACAAAAATGTGATTAGTTACTAGAATAGTAATGAAATCATACTAACTTATGTTCAATTTTTTAAACTTAAGTTACTATGACAATACATTGTACTCCCTCCGTCCAAATTTGTTTTGCAAAATCAACATTTTTTTATTAACCAATAATAAAAGTTAATCCTCCCTATGGATAATTAATTCAATTTTCAATAATTAAAATTTACATATTCATAAGCTACATTAAAATCTCTTCAAAGTTGTAAACTCCAAATTAGAATATACAATAGTAATTAAAAATTGACATCCTAATTAAGTGAACAGAACGAAACTGTTTGACAAAAAAAGTCAAATTTACAAATCAATTTGGGATGGAGGTAGTAGTAACTAATAGTCATATTTTTGTAAATAAGTTTTATTTTAGTAATATTTTTGTAAAAAACCCTCGTTTTAACTCCAAAGGTTACCACCCGGGGCAACAGAGCACAACACAAGTGATTTGTAATTCAGGCTCAGTTGTTATAATGGTTCTTCAACACATAAACTTATTCATAGACCATAGGTTCCGAAAGTAAAGAAAAAACTATGCACAATCTTGAAAGGATAGAGGGATAGCTGGTCTCCAAGTTGTGCCATCTGGGCTATCCATCAAAGCAATCCCTAAAGCTGCCAATTCTTTTCGAATTGAATCAGATCTTTCATACTCTTTATTCTTTCTCGCCAACATCCTTTCTTCTATTTTATGAAAAACTTGGTCTTCCCTCAAATTCGCACGCGTTAGGGCTTTCTCTCTTAGCTGCTGTAGAACCTATAAACAAAAGGGGGAGCATGATTGCATGAACGAGGCAAAAAAAATTCTACTCCGAATTATAAAAGGAAAATAAAGTGATGCATAGCTAATTATCAAATTAATATTATATTCAGTCATTTAATGAAGAGACATATTTTCTATAATAATCAAAACAAAATATTATGATATGACTACAATACCCATCACTAATGTATTAATGTTATACTAGGGAACACTTATAGATAGCGAAGGAAAATTATGTACAACGGGAAATTTATGCTCTCTTGCTATTCGAAAGTAACACTTGCGAAGTGATAATATTGAACAGCATGCTAGTTGCTAGAGTGACAAATGCCTGGTGAGTAAAATAGAACACCGAACTTTGAAAATATAATGACTAGTTTAAGCACAGGAGGCAATCATATATCGTGAAAAGAAACATTTTAATAGCTACATTTTATTCTTCATATGACTAGGACAACATATAAGAAGATTCAATATGCTTAAACTGCTCATCACATGCACACACCAATATGGCACTAAAAGATTAAAACAAATACGGAGTAATTAGTTTACCTCACAGTAATCACTTGGCACGAGCCCCAAAATGGATAGAGCATTCCTTATTGTCTTCTCTAAAGCAACAAGTGACTCTATTCGCATTTCTTGCTTCTTACCCTATGGAGAACAATAAACAATTTTATTGTCAAGAAAATATATCCCCTATTTGATAAAATGTTGTTTTTGAAAAGATCTTTCCAAAGCTATATGCATGACTTGAACTATACAAGTGGAATGTGTTAAAACAGATTGAAATAGATGGCTAAAATAGCGAGAGGATGGCATTCAGAGCCTGCTTGGTAAGGGTAAATTTTGGTAAACTGAAGGAATTAGCTGAATCTACTTAAACAACTGATTCCGCTGAACCATCTAAAAGGGTATATTTAAAATATATTACAATAGGTAAAGAAATAATATCAAAATAAGATGCTAGAAGTGTCATTTTCCTGCATTTCATACAAAAATGACACCATTTTTTAAAGTCAGTGAGATGACAAAAAGATGTGCCACATTTAAGTCTTGTGAGGGGATAAGCACAAACAAAAAACACTTACGACACTTTCTGACCAATAAACCTAGTTTGAGAGTCCAATTAACACTCAAATACCTTGTGAGTATGCAATAGATCATTCATCATCTTCAATGGATCTGACATTGCAGCCAGAGCAACAGGAGTATGCAGATCATCAGATAGCGAAGTCAGAAGTTCATTATGAAACTTCTCTATGCACTCAGCAGTTCCTAAAGGAACAGAATCCATCCAACATCCTCCATGCTGAGCGAGAACAGCTTTACAATCATACAATGTCTACCCCAAAGAAAATTAAATGAGTTAGTTTGTATGCTTTTTATAGTTAAAAATAAACAAATTCAAAAAAATAAACAAGTGCTGGAATATAAAATCCAAACAGAATTGTCAATATTCAAACACATAATATAATCACAAGCCAAGACAAATGTAGAGATCCTCAAATCTACAAAAAACCAGAAGCACTCCCTTCAAACCAAAAACACAGTCTTCTCCTGTGTACCTAACCTGAGACCTGGGCTTGGTCGCCCTTTAATGAATGAATCCTAGGGAGGGGTCGCTCTTTTTTCCCCAAAATCTCACCGGCCACCGCTAAAAAAATATTTTTCCTCCCGCTCAACTCTCACCTAAAATCTCTAGAAAGAAACAAAGGCTAAAAGATAGGCACCAAGAACAATGACAGCATATATCTGCATTCCACTGATCTAAATGAAGATGCTAGTTACTATGCAGAGAAGGTAAGGTAGATCTTTAACTACCTGATATATGTAGAAAACGCGATCAGATGCACTCTCAAGCTGTGCAACTGTGTAATTAATAGGTGATCTATAATGTGTCCCGATTAAGAAAAGTCTTAAAGCCAATGGATGATAGATATCAATAACCTGAGAGAATATAAGATGGCAACAAAGATTTAATGAATATTGGATGCACAAAGAAAGTCAGAAGGGAGGCTTATGTTCATATACCTGCCGAATTGTGAAAAAGTTTCCAAGTGATTTTGACATTTTCTCTGAGTCAATATTGACAAATCCATTGTGCATCCAATAACTTATATTACTTTTGCTGCATGCCACACAACTCTGGGCAATTTCGTTTTCATGGTGAGGAAATATAAGATCAATCCCGCCACCATGTATGTCAAAAGAGTGCCCTAAATATGTAGCACTCATCGCACTGCACTCAATATGCCATCCAGGTCTTCCTGGACCCCACGGACTCTCCCAAAAAGGCTCTCTCTCCTTTGCAGACTGCATTATGACCAAAATGAATCCATCAAGACTACAATGTGCTTCATTTACACAACATTTATAGATACAACTACCCGACCCGAAAAACTACTTTTACAAGGAAAACAAAATAAGAAACTGAATATTAATAATGAAAGGACATACATTGTGGTTTTAGCTTTACATAAAGAATAACTTCCTTGTGTTGCTCTATTGTCCATCTTAAATTAGATCAGAGTTTGAATCATAAAAAGTCAGATTTATATTCTATTGATCACTATACATCAACAAGAGTGTCTTCCCCAAATGCTAAGGATGCAAGATTCCTGAGCAATTGGCCGGGCCTTTAGGCTTTACTGCTTTAGCCTTTGTTTGGTTGGGAAAAAGTAGGAAGTAAAGAAGGGGGGAGAAATAAGAGATAAATGTAGAATTCCTCTTGATTGGTTTGGAGAGAAATGAAAAGGGGATAAAAATCCTCATTTTTTATTTCTTCTCCACATGGAGAGAAATAGGAATCATGTTCTACATATTTCTTCATCATTTCTCTTATGCCAAAACACACATGAAATCTACCCCATTTCTCCAGAATTTATCTCTTCATTCCTTTCTCGAATTCTCGCCAATTTCTCTCTTCTTTATATCTACTCTAAAAGACTAAAACTAAACAAAGGCTTGGTAGTTAGTACAACTACACAGAAACTAGAGCAATGAGTTTGTGCACACGTCAACCCCTTAAAAGCTCATATTTGAAGTGGGGTTAAAGGGAGCTAGCAGTTCTCACTTTCCACAAAGCAAAATCTGCAGGGTTTTTCTTCCTTGTATCCACTGCAACTCGCTCACCTGCTCTATTATCTTGCAACTTTCGTCCAGATAATTGTCCATATTCTGGAAATTTGTCTATAGAAAAGTAGACATCACCATCGATTATGTAAGCACACCCATTATCAAGAATCTGCCAAAGAAGCAGATAAACCCCATTTAAGTTTAAACATCAAGTTAGTGAATTATATCACACTAAATGGTAAATGGATGCAACTAGTAGTATCGTGAGAATCAAGCCAATTTACAAGTTCATTGTGAAAATCGTTCCATAACTCTGTGAAGAGGTTGAAGAAGACAAATAAACTAAAAAGTGGTTGGTGCATCAGCATCATAAAACACACAATGATGTTAAGGCACTGAATTTTGTCAATGTGTTTCTATAATCACTGCTTATAACAATGATAATATATTATAAATCATTTCCATTTTCCTTCCAATTTTCCTCTTTATAAACAGAAAATGGTTAAATAGGTTAAATAGCTATTCAGTTCTGAATGGGTTTATCTATTAACTGCTCACAAGCAAGTATTACTTGTTCATAGACCATAATACATCTTTTATCTTCTAATTTTCCCATTAATAGAAAAACATGAGATAAAAGATCCAAAATAAATTGAAAGCAGAAATAAGTTTTAAGGTACACAATTACACACCATGTCAGAGCATAGTTTTAACAAACCAGATAAAATTAAAAGCAAACTTTTAGGGTATAAAGGAATATTATTAATGTTTATGAAGGCCATAAAAACATATTGCAATTTGCAAGATCACCTGTTGTATCATATCAACTATTTGGGGCATATGATCAGAGACTCGTGGCTCCACCGAAGGAGGAAGACAATGAAGATACGACATGTCAAGAAGAAACTCTTCACAATACCGCCTGCTTAAACTGAGAGGATCCTCACCCAATTCATTTGCTCTTGCTATAATCTAGGGAATTTGAAAAGTTCACACTCATTTATTAAGAAAATTCCCCACAATAGGAGTAACACATGGACCAAGTTCACAAATAGGACTAATTACATTTTATACTCAAAATAGGAATATAAGACTTATTTAGACCTAATAAAAGAATACAAGCAGGTATCATGTCTTTTTTAGAAGTGAAAAGGTCCTATTAAGCAGGAAGTGGTGGCCTTATTTGAGGAAACGTTTTATACTTTGGTCCTATTGAAGGGACTTTCTCTCAATTATTCTGTCACTTTTCATCATTGTGAATATAAAATATGAGTTTGGTTATGAACAAATAGGTTGTTGAACTACAGATAAGCTCGATAATATATAATCACTCACCTTGTCATCAACATCAGTGAAATTGCGTACATAATTGACTTTGTATCCCAAATGTTTAAGGTACCTGCCTAATATTAAACAACAAGAAACACAATAACTTATCTGTTATTCAGAGTAATCACTGGATTCTTTTTTTGTTGCAAAAAATAACACACACAAAAAGACTAACATTAATATCATCAGCACACAGACATGTTACATAACATCGCTTAATCTGGGTCACCTGTAAAGTGCCATTATTAAGTTCTCGATCCCAAGAAATATAAATTTAAATGGTTAAGATACTAATAAGGTGGGTACGTAAAACAGATTTTAATATACAAAAGCACACATTTGAAATATCATTGTGGGAAAAGAGTAGTTTCCTAGGCATTTCTTGCAAGTCCAATGCTTTTAGTAGCTTCAAACAACAATGATTACAACTCTTCACACTTTTAAGCTTCAACGACAATTCTGTATGGTTGCAAGGTATAATAAACCAAACTACTCTCAAGATTCACAAGCCATGAACTAAGAACATACTTGGTATTGCAAACAATCATCCATACAATATTAGTTTTGAACTTATTTTAAGTGGACATTAGTTATCAAATAACATTCTTAATTTAAAGAGAAGTATATATAGAGCCTCCTTGATGTTGCAAACTAAACAAGTACTGTCCTCCATATTTCAGAACTCAGAAGCCATAATAGCTGACAACAATCATCAACTAATATCAAATAACAATGCATAATTTTACACCATATCACAAACATATTGATAGTGGTTGTTTAAGGAACCTGTAGAGAACGTCGAAGCAGACATAAACACGAGCATGGCCAATGTGGCTAAGATCATAAGCTGTTACACCGCAAACATACATTCCGACATTTCCAGGTACTTTGGGTTTGAACATCTCCTTCTCTTTGGTCATTGTATTGTAAAGCCATAACTGGTGGCTCATCAGCTGATCTCCATTCTTACCTCCGCATGTATTGCTGTTATCTATACTAAACGTATGCCCTGATGAGGAGCTGAAACACCTGACCATAAACCTTGTTCGGGTGAGAAAAGGCACAAACCTGCCTCTGCCCGCGGCGGAGAAGAGTTTGATTCTGCGCAAGGGAATCAGCTTCTGCGAGTCAAGGACAGGGATCAATGGTCTGCAACACTTCAAGAGGGTCGCTTCCATGGCTGAAAGAATAGTGTCCACTCATAAAAAAATAAATTCACTATATCCAATTTCTTCAAGGGGTTGTCAATAAGACTAAAGGATAACTACAAAATTAGATTACATTAAAAAGAATCCAAAAAAGGACGAACAGGATGTTTATGCCCTTTACTAATAGACTTCAGTGATCTGTAGCAGCCAGTGACCACCGCTGGTATTCCAATGACACTCCAGTGACCCCAGTATCTCCTAACCCTCAGTTACCCGCCACCCACTAACTGTGACTAGGCAGGGCCGGTCCTGTCTTTTTCAAACCTCGGGGCAGGTAAACTAACATGCTTAATAATAATATTTCAAGACATTTAAAATAAAGAAAAAATTTAGATTCGTAAATTTTCGGCAGCAAAGTCAGTCTTCTCCTCTGACTTATCATTTTCATTCAAAGGAGGACATTCGGGATTCAACTTCTTCAAACATACAAATTTATCCATTGAACCCCTTTGACTTAGGGTTGCTTTCTCTAATCTTCTTCTCTTTTTCCCTTCTCCCATCCAGATTCTACCATTTTATTGACACCTAAAAATTAATTAAACTTTTAAATTTAATTCATTATCATCATCATTAATCCAGTGCCGCAAAGGCTTCCACCTATGGTGGGGTAAGGAGGGGTAGGATGTACACGGTCTTACCCCTGTACTAAATCACAGAGAGACTGTTTCCGGATGACCCATAGTGAAAAAATGAAAATTGCGTCGAAAATAGCATGGATTGGTTGTTGCTTCACAACAAAGAAGCGTATACAGTTTAGTGACCCATTTTGCTTTATTCCATCATATTCCCAAACCTAAAAATTAATCAAACTTTCAAATTTAATTCATTATCATCATCATTACTCCAGTGCCACAAAGGCTTCCACCTATGGTGGGGTAAGGAGGGGTAGGATGTACACGGTCTTACCCCTATAATTAATCACAAAGAGACTGTTTCCGGATGACCCGTAGTGAAAATTGCGTCGAAAATTGCATGGATTGGTTGTTGCTTCATAACAAAGAAACGCATACAGTTTAGTGAGTCATTTTGCTTTATTCCATCATATTCCCAAACTAAAAAATAGCGAGTCTTTGGCTCAATCGCAAATGATGGAAAACAAACTTTTAAATTTAACTATATTGCATAAATTTTACCAAACAAATTATAACACTAACACAAAGTCCAAATTTAACCGCTTCCTCTTCACAGATGTACATCTTACACCAATTGACTTATGTAGTGGTCCAGCTTATAGATGAACAAAGAGACAATGAACATTAGTTAATTTTTTTTAAATGCAATATAACATGCATATGACAAAATTTTAATGGAAAGATTTATTAAATATGCTTTATAATAATCGTAGTATTTAATAGTGGCTTTATTTACTATAGTGACTATGTCCAATTTATATTTCAAGAATTCAAGCCCATCCGGTAACACTTATTTTAAAGTTATCATCTTGATGAAACAATTTTTTATCAAAGGTTTTTTTTAATTTACGTGGTGAATAATGTAATAATCAAAATAAGGTTAAAGACACTTTTGTGATTGAATTGGCTGAAGTAGAATATTTAGCTACTTTTCATTTTCTTTTGTTTGTTTTAAGCAGCTCATTTTAGCAGTGTCTTTTTTAATGCATCTTCCATATGAGTAAGAAAAAAGCCAAATCAATGGAATTGAAATCACAAAACGTAGCAGCATGCCAGCAACCAAGAGCAAGTTTGATATGGATGGACCAACAAAATAAGCCACTCAGAGTAAAGCAGGATAAAAGCAAAGTGAGATAGGTGATGGTGGAGCTCTTGAGAAGTTTATAGATGAAGAACAAATGCTTGTTCAGTTTGAAGCTCAAGTAAGAACTAATGGAAAAATGACTAGAAATTTGATATCTGCTGAGTAGCTAGAAAAAGGTATGTCAACTGAAGAGGAACAGACATTTCTAGTGGGAAAAAGATGGTGATTTAATTACATATGGTGAATGAATCACAACTAGTGAATTTATCTTAGAGATTCAGAGTCAAAGAATTCCTTAGATGAGTTTCTGTCTACTAAACTTACTACCAAGCATTTTAACAAACATCATATATGCAATGTCAAATTTAACTTATTGATAATAAAAGATACCTTACGTACTGCGTGGATGATGGTAGCAGCGAAGCTCCGTGACTCAAACTGTTGACTGAAAAATGCTCAACTGAAACTCGATGTTCTACACGACTCCACAGACGCTGTACAATGATGAAGGTACGAATTGCTTTGTCACTCGAACTTGGGACCTGCACTCGACGCGGGAGTCGCGGCAATAGTATGTCGCCAGGTCCGACCTGTGATGTCGCTGTGCTTCTAGCTAATGTGGTAGGTCTCAGCCCAGTGAAAAATAACAGACCAATAAGCCGTTGGCAACTTTTTTTTAAGGCAGTAAATAATTTTGTTTTCGCGTGAGGAAAAAATTAGGTTGAAATTTGTATTTGGAGATATTACCCAAAATGGGACTAAAAAAGTTTGAAAATTCCAAAATAGGACTTCCATGTTTGTATTCCCGAAATAGGACTAATTACTGACATGTTTTGGCAGTACCAGACTTCAAACATGGCAGTATTTTCCAAATTTGGCAGTAATTAGTCCTATTTTGGGAATAAAAACATGACAGTCCTATTTTGGAATTTTTGAACTTTTTTAGTCCCATTTCGGGAACTTTCCCTTGTATTTGTTGAAGTTACTATAGTCTATAGATGATTATTTTAGCTATTTTTAGATATATTTTTTCTTTATTTTATTAAAAAAGAATTTTAAAAATAATTTTTTCTTAAATAAGCAGAATCAGCCAATGTAGCCACTTCAGCCAGAAGTTCATAAATTTCAACAGAATCAATCAAATCAATCGATTTTCATGTTACCAAATGGGCTCCAAGAAGCCGTTGGATGTGATTTTTGAGAACTTTTCTAATCTCATTTGAATCTTTTTATCTGGTCTTAATCTTTCTAATCTGATTTGATCTAAATATTTCTGATCTAATTGAGTTTATTATTATTATTATTATTATTATTATTATTATTATTATTAGTATTATTATTATTAGTATTATCTGAACTAAAATTTTCTGATACGATGTGATCTGGTCTTAACTTTTATCATCTAATCTGATCTGAACTTATAACCTATTTGGAACATTGTACATTTTTTTTATTTTTACTTTTTCCTACATTGGTGATAAGTGGTAACTGATCTGATCTGAATTGCATTTTTCATTTATCATAAATAGTACTGTGCTTCCTTTTTCACATCGATTCTTGTGAAAATTGATGTAGAATACGATAGTATTTCATAAAATTTTAAAATATTATCCGTTTTCTCATTTAATACCAGTTCTTAAAGCACCCAATGTGAAATAATTTATGAAAATTATATTAAAAAAACTTGTGTAAATATTTCACATGGATAACGAAAAGGTGATGTAAAATGATCTTTTTGTACTAATGAATAATTTTCACAAATTCAACTGTTTCAACATGAATTTCACTAATTTCATCATATTCAATCGATTCCGATATTACCAAATAGGTCATATACTTTTACTTTATAATTAAAACATTAGATGTTATAGATTCATGGATTTTTGGACAAGGCATGGGAGAAGATAGTAGCAAAACTCAAAGGATGTTAATGAGTTGAGTTTGGATCCGGTGAAGGTCCACCTCCATCCATTGATCAATTGTACATCCATCATTCAATCCATTTATTACTCGTTAAATATTTCACATGCATACAATTCATCTATCATCCATGATTCATTATGGTGAATTGAGTGGACAATAGATGAAATATATGTAAGTTTATTATCTTCATCCAAATTACTCTATAAATGTCTAAAACTTACTATTTCATAAACAATATTAGAACACATTAATGCTAATAAAATTATGACTGATGCTCGTAAAATATACTAATACAATAAGTCATCTCTATATATTAAATAAAAATAAGAAATCACATAAACTAAATCCTAAATAGTACTCCGTACTACTTCTGTACTTTCATCTACCACAAGTTCATTCCCTATCAAGTTAATAAAATAAAAAGTAAACAAAAAACATGAAATGGTGAATTGGTGCTTAATGATAAAACAACAATGACAGATGCGGCTTATAGTGACACAATAATGAAGACAATGCTTGGATCATATAGAGGACATGGGTTGTCGTGAGTAGAAGCTGATTATGTCTACATGCCATTGAACACGGCAATGCATTGGATACTGTTGGTCTTAGACATTAATGGTGAGCAAACAAGAGTATATGATTTCCTAAAGAGAAGGGGAGATTCGTTGTCAAGCATTAGGGCATTCATCCTTGCTTGGAGACTTTCCTACCAAAGGTGATGGAAAGGTTGGGTGTTTATGACAAGCGGCCAGAAGCACATATTGGAAAGGGATAAATTCGAATAGAGATGGTCTGTAACTGTCCACAACAGGATGATTGGTATGTGTGGCTCAAATATTATATTTGTAACATAGTTTAATATATTATGCTTGTTTACCTTTATATTAAAGCATTTATGTCTATACAGGGGCAATTGTGGTATGTTTATCATAAAGTTTGCTGAATTTCTAATGATGGGTAGAGAAGTGACTGAAGTTTCAAACCAAGACATGGAAAAGTACCGACACAAAATGATGACAGAGCTGCTGATGTATGCATCATGAGGAAAGGAGTTGACTTAATATGTTCTATTGATATGTACTTGGACTAAGATGATTTGTAATGAATAAGTGTTTCGAAAGGAAAGAAACTTGTAAAACTTTCATCGTTTGGTCATTAATACTTGTTCTTAAATGTTGATAACATTTCATTTGAAATGCTTGTTCATGTTTTATTTGATCTTTTTGGGTGTCATATCAAATGCTTGTTCATGTTTTATTTGATATTCAGTTCAAGTATAATATCTGCTGAAGTGAGGATTGAAGTGCATGATTAGACATTAATTAGTTGTTAATAGCAAATGTGTAGACATTAAACTTGTACAACCAAACTAAGAACAACAACTAATACAAACGTATAATGTAAAGCAAATGTGAAACTTAATAAATTAAACTACTGAAGTGATGTGTTAATATAATTATCATTTTAAGGTATAATACACGTTACATGATATGAATAATGTTTTTTTTGCAATTGATATGAACATAAAGTTAGTAAACGTAGAAAAGGTATTTTGATAGTTGGTATTATTCATAAAGGTGTTTCAATATATAAATATGCAATGCGTTTGTTTTGAACATTAAATTAGTATAATATCGAGATATGTTTAGATTACTAAGTAGGAAAAAGTGGGATGGTATAATTTTAGTGTACATGCAAAAGTAAGGTATGTGATAGTTATTCATACTAGTGAAAAAGGAAAACAAATCATAAGAGACCATTATAGATGTCACTGTCAAAGGCTTGAGTAACAAAGACTATAATTAAGGTCTTCTTATACACATTAATCAATATGTAAGTAGACAATAATTTGCATCCATATCAGCAAAAATTGCTTGCTTTTCAACAACCAATAAAGTGAGTATGAATAACAAAAGTACATATAATGAAACTCCAAAGGTATTCCAATGAAAAAAGAGTCTGATGCCAACAAACCGTGGCAGCTAACAATAGTGATGAATAAAAAGAATAAAAGTCTTACAATTATTACTATAGGAAATAAAAACAAAATCACAGAAAAATATGAAACTGAAGTCCACAGAATGAGATAGGATTTGTGCAAGACTTCTTATTGTGTCCTTTCTTACACTGTGAACACCGATGTCGGGAACCAAACTCTCCAGTTGAAGAAATACGCTTCTTTTTAGGTCTATCGGGTTGGCGTGTCAAGCATGTAGGTGGCCTGCAGATTTCATACGCCACATAAGCAGGAACACCCCAATCACAACGAGAACCAAGAGGGTGAACTTCCCCTATATAAGCAGCAACCCACTCCCGTGTGAAGTAAAACTTTGAGATGTAATCGTAACACGATAAACCTCGATGATGGCCTACAACTGCAACTCCATGTACACATATAAAGTGATCAAGTTGAAATTCACAACATGAGCATGTCTTGTTTTTCAAATTAACAACGAAGCTTCTAGATGTTCTGTCCACCACCTCAAATTCATATTGACTAGCAGGATTCACCTAAAACAAAATAAAAAATACTAGCAGTAGTTACACTTAAAACATATATGTAGAAAGATGATAAGAACAAAAATATAACGTCATAAAAGGTAGAAGGTAATACACTTACACTCATAAGAGCTGCCTCGCCGTGATAAGAACGAAGTTGAGACTCAAAATGGGCATAAAGAATTGGTTTACAACTTGATGACGCATCATGACGATCGCAAAACCATTTTTGCATCCATCCACGCAAAAAAATATATCAGTTTTGCTATAGGATACTCACAGGGCACACGGTGCACTGAATTCACTGGCACGACATTGTTAGATGTCATCACAGAATACCTAGAACAAGTACAAAAACAGCGAGCCCATTTCTCAACACTTATTTCATCCAAATAATCACGGATACGGCAATCTTCTGCATCTAATAAAGCCATATACTCTTCAAATTAAGTAGGACTGGCAGCCCTAACAACCTGATTAAACTTCCATGCAAGACTTGTAGTAGACCCCTTGAACTTTGATCTAATATTTCCTAGGATATGGTACGCACAGTAGCCGTGTCCAGCATGCAGAAACACCACTTTGTTGCATGTATAATACCATCGACCATCGTGACGATCTGAAACAATATATATACAAGTCCTCCCTATACGCAAGACACTCCTTCAGTTTCATAAAAAAAACAAGTCCATGTTTTTCTTCGCTCAATATCAACCACACCAAACGCCAAAGGGAAAATTTGGTTGTTAGCATCTTGAGCACATGCAGTCAGTAATGTACCCTTGTAATACGCTTTCATAAGCGAACCATCAATAATAAGAACTGGAAAACAATGTTTCCAGCCTTGAATCTAAGCATCCAATGACATGAAGAAAGACTTAAATCGACGCACACCAACATCTAACAAAATCAATGAACCAAGATGTTTCTATTTAAGAACATATGCAATGGAGGGTAACAATTGATATGACTGCTCATCTGAACCCATCATCTTTTCTTGAGCTTTCTTGTTTGCAAGCAAAGCTTTTTATACGGTATAGTCAAATCATAATCTCTATTTAAATCAACAATAATATCTTTTGGAGCATAAGGTTTCCTAGATGCATCCGCATACCGGTGTTTGATGAGTTCAACAATTATTTTTTTGGTAGCTTGGCGGTTGGGACCTTGCCTCACATCCAATGAGCATGTATGCACTGAATCAAATCAGGGAAATTGTACAACAGTAAATAGCATTAAAAAGACAGCAAGTAGACAATAAGTGAAAAATAGTACTACCTCCGTCCCTTCAAACTTTGCCAAGTTTGACCGACACAGGGATTAATAAAGTAAAAACTGTGTGGTTGAGTTTTGTGCGGAGGAGAGAGAATTAACTGGAACCACAAATTCTTTCCTTAAATGGGAAAGTGGCAAAGTTAGTGGGACATCCAAAAAAGGAAAGTTGGCAAAGTTTTAAGGGACGAAGGGAGTACAACATAAGATTTTAAATGTGCAGTTGAGTAACATTAATGAATAAATGACCTTCCTATTTGAAACATTTGGCATCCATCCAACCTCACTGCATGTACATCCCAATCACAAGCCTCATCATCAACACAAACAACATGCAAGAATTTTCTAGTTGATGTTCTTGTCGTGTATTGGAAAAGATTTAAAATGACATACATCTTCAAATGATGGGATAATGATCTCTTATCCTTGTAGATAGACTTTGTAGCAATACGAGTATGATGAAAATGACAGATTACTTGGATATCTTGAAAATCATGAAAATAGTCTAAATCAGAGTGTTCATTACCCGCAAGACCTTCACCGTCTGAAGATGTAGGTGAAGAAACTTCATTACTAGAACCAGAAACGTGTGTAGGTAATGGATTTGTATCACCAGAGTGAATTGAAATATCAGCATTCGTAGCATACATATCCAAAGACATATCTTCAGTTTGAGGGGAAGAAACATCAAATGTGTGATGATGCATGACAAAAGCGTCTTCAAGATGCCCAAATTCACCATTTGGAGACACATTTAAATCAAATGCAAGTAGTTGCGAAGAGAAGTGGGCAAGAGTAGACACAAATAGCGGAAACAACTCAACACACAAATGATACTTGGCATAATTAGGTTGTGATTTTTTAAGAGCCATGTAAAAGAACAAACTATAATCATCATTAACAACAACTAGAGGAGGACAATCTTCAACCAAATAACTAATTCTGATCCGTTCATATGCATCAAAAGCACCAATGCATGAATAGACCAAAGTAATAAAAGGAATATACAATTTTTCATCCAGAACTATGGTCACCAATGCATGAATAGACCAAAGCAATAAAAGGAATATACAATGTCTCATCCAGAACTATGAGACCACAAGTTCTTTTATTACAAAAAACATGGGAATCATTCCAACTTCCATCCACCTTTAGCATAAGCAGCATTTTAATTCGGATAAAAACAGAGAAATAAATTTAAACAAAAAGTTCATCACATAATAAATTCATGTGAATATGTAACTGTGTGATTACAAAATAGATCCATATATAATATATTTATGTCTGAACAAATAAATGCAAAAACAAATAATAACCCAAGCAGCAACAAAACAGTAATAACTTCTAAAGTGAAAGGTATAAGAACAAAACACAGAACAACTAATCAATAAATTAAAGTCAGAATTATAAGAACAAAAACGGTGAACGAATCAACATATTGAAGATCAAAAGCTATTGATGCAGAAGAATGTCGAAGTACATCATACAAAAGTGATAAAATGAAGACAAAAATTCCAAGTGTTTTAGAGATAATTTCAGAGAAATATAATGTGAGATTATGAAGAAAATTTAATGACATAATTCATAAACAAACTGAAACTCCAAGATAGCGAACGAAAAAATGTAATCAGAATGAAAATTCGAACACACAACATGCAAACTTACAACAGAAAATTCACAGTAGGAACGATCCACGAATTGTGATGAAATTGAGTCGGAATTTCGCAGATGACGATAACTCCAATCCGAATGAAGATTATGATTTGGGATTGATGGAAATGAGAGAATTCTCTAAATATGAGTAAAAACGTTTTGAAATTTCAAAATAGGATTATCATGTTTTTTATTCCCTGAATAGGAGTAAATTTCTGCCAAGTTTGGCATTACTAGGCTTTAAAGTAGTTTAAACATGTCATTTTTTCAAACTTGGCAGATTACTCCTATTTAAGGAATAAAAAACATGATAGTCCCATTTTGGAATTTCTAAACATTTTTACTTTTATTTAGGCCAATTTCTGTCACACTTAGAGCATCTTCAATGCTAAAACGTCAACAGTGCATACGTGGCATCAGAGATAGCACAATGTCAAGCACAATGTGTAGATGTAGACATTGTTGTTGACATTGTAGCAAAAAACCTTCCAAAAACACATAAGACCGTGAAAAGAATGAGAGAAAAATGTCAAAACATCAATTTTATTTTATTTTGTAGATCTCTTACTTACTTACCTTTCCGGTCCTTTACCCCCCTCCTAAGTCCTAAGTCCTAATACTCCGTCCCTTTCTCTCCCCTTCGTATCTTCATTCCTCCAACGAATTGAAACTTTGCATCGAAGGCCTAATCGTCGTAGCCAGCTGCTCTAATCAACCTTCCATCTCCGCGTATCGATTTTCTCGACTAGGTACCTCAGCCGCCGCCTTCCTCCGCAGGTACCTCATATTTCCCTCGTGAATAGAGTGCAAGGTTTCTGGTGCCTCGCAGAAATAGAATTCTACAGCATTAGTGAGTTCCTCACCATTTCTGAGGTGTTATGTGCATTTTTTCGCACCAATTGCAGTTATAGAACTCTACAATGTTTCTGGTACTGATATTTAGTTAATTCTACGACAATAGTGAATTCCGGAACTCCCTATTGAATAGGAGTACAAGGTTTCTGGAATTCTACTGTTAATAAGCTAGTTTAAGTGAAACATGAGGATATTTCATGTTAATCCTTGTGGTTCTGCTTCACTTCTGGAACTTTTAAATGAATAGGTTGCATGATTTTTATTAAAATATCTCGTATGTAACATATGTTGATCAATAGGAATTTCTTTTATAGAGTAAGATTCACCTGCAGCTTTCTTTCTCACGGGGATTGCTACATTGTGATGCAGCAAAGTGCTTATTTTACATGATTTTATTGGCTCTGTGTTCTAAAATAGTTTTAGAAAGTTTTATTCTGTTATATAGATATATCTATCTGGTTTAAATACTATGGCTAAATTTATCTTGTTTGAATACTATGACTAAATTTATCTTGTTTGAATACTATGACTTGTACTTACCTTGTAAAACTATTGTATGTTTGAATACTATGACTTCCAAGGCCAGGGAAATCTCACAAATGGGGGGAATGCCATCTATACAAAGTTCATCAAGTGTGATAATTACTGAGCAATTACCAAAAGATCAAAGTGCCCCTGCCGCTGCCGCTAGTGTGTCGGACTCTAAGCCAAAAAAGAAGATATGTTGTGCATGCCCAGAAACTAAGAAGTTGAGGGATGAATGCATAGTGGAGCATGGTGAAGCTGCTTGCCAGAAATGGATTGAGGCTCATCGCAAATGCCTTCGTGCAGAAGGCTTCAATGTTTAACCACCCTTAAGTGACGATTTACACATACCAGATTGGATTGGATAGAATCAACGAGTAATGCTACTGCTACATCACACTTCTGTTTTGCTTTCCCAGATACTCCGTATAATTTTGCAAAAAAATCAACAATAATGATTGATCAGTTAAGTGAGTTTTCTTGACTCATCAATCAGTAGAATCCAATATCTCTGTTTAATTGCAAAAAAATGACTTCTACTTACGATTCATCAGAAGGTTGGCTTTTTTATCAATAAATTTCTTTCAACAGACGTAGTACCACACACCTAAGAGCCGAATGTCATGAATGTGTTATTCAGCTTCAATTCTTACTCATTCATTAGCAATATTACTTCAAGTTAGAGCTATTTTTTTCCCAATGAGATGGAGGTTGTAATGTGCTAACAACATAAGTTCACTAAACATTTATGTTGTCTTTTCAAAACTTTATAGTCATAAAGAGACGGGTGGTGCCCAATGCTGGGGGAAAATGTGTTGCATTGTTAGGGAAATCAAAAATAGGGTGAAACTTAGAGGAACAAAAAACATTGTCTAAAATTTGATAGATTTGTTAGGGATATTTGAGAAAAACCATTTAAACCATTTATTCATATAATGTAAAAACAAAGAAACCCAAACATATATAAGATCTAATACAAACATATGCGAAATCAAATTAGTAAGAAATTTGGCTCAGAATATATAGAATACTCACAGATCCAGTGTGGAATGATATTCAAACAATACCCTCACGGTCATCGTAAACCTCGACAAACAAAGTGCTATATTGTAACATCTAACAAAGAAATGTAAATACCTGATTTATGCCTCAGTCTTGAATGTTGGCAACTTTTTTTATGCCACATAGCCCCCTCTTGATGTCCTCAGGAGTGGACCACCACGTTTATGAAGTGCACTGTATACACGAAAATAAGACCTACTTAACTCCTTCCACACTTTATATATATGGTAGATTTCTATATGGAAAACTTAGTGAACTCAAATTAGGGAGCAAGGGACACTTTACCTAATAGCAGATATACACATATCAGAATGTTTTGCAGCTTCTAATTTCATTTTGGAGTCGAATGACAGCCAACCATTTTAGTTCATAGGCCAAATGGCCCACATCTCTAACAACCTAACAACATCATGACCCCAAAACAAAAATAAAGAATTATGGGAAACTCAACACTTCTCTTACTTCTAAAATAAGTAAGACTTTTTCAAAAAAGTTTATTTTGTATATTTTTTATAGAAATATATTAAACCTTTGAAAGAACAAAAAACTTTTTTTCAATCAAATTATTTATACCAAATTAACCCAAGAATTAGATGTGAGATGTAATAGCAAATTAATTTAAGAATTTGAAACTAAAATACCTCAAATATCAGATTCAAACCTAAATTAGTCTAACAATCAAAATAGTGATGTCAAATTAACAACATGATTCTGGAAAAATTGATTTTTTTTACCAATGAAACCTCAATGTATTAATACTTTGGTAGTTTATTTTTTTTGACCATGAAAAGTTTATGTAAAAATGATCACACGATGGTTAACTAAATACAAATTGATAAATTCTCACAGTTTTCTAATTACCAGTAAAAGTTAGTTAAACATCCATCATTATAGTTGGAGTCCACAATCTTTCTATATACAAACTGCTGTGGAAAAGCAGCATGAATTCCCGCCCAAATGTAGCGGGTCAAATAGCTGAGTTCGTGTAAAAAAGGGTCCATCAACTAGGGTCAAGTATTGAGTGGAATAATGCATTAATTGTGGTCAACAGTTTTATTCACTTTAATAGCCTGCAAGGTGATGGCAACGGATGCATTAATTGTTGTAGCGATGTGTCTTTTCAAAACTTTATAGTCATAAAGACAAAAACAGTAGCAAATTTGATGCACATTACAACTGCATCGTCCTGGATTCGCGTCCTGTCTCTAGGGTTTCACCGTTAGAGTTTTATTTGTCCGCTATTGTCTTTTGGGGAGGAGCGGTGCCGTCTTCCGGCAATTCGTTCGTGAATAGGGAGATTTGACTGGAGGTGACTCAAGGGTCAATCAAGGCGATGAAGGAAGAAGATGAAGTGAAGGCGATTCGACCCCCTCTTGAACCACCGTCGGTGGTTCTTGGAAGGCTGAATGAAGATTTTTTTTTATATTTATGTTAATGGTCTGAATTTGTCTGTGTTTGTTTGTTGTTTTATCTCTTTCGATTGTAAGACTGTTGTTTTGGATTTTGATGTGGGTGATGTAATGACTGCGGTAGCCGTCTTTGGCTCATTTGTGTCCATTAATGGATCAGCGAGTTATATTGCTGAGGCAATAAACTCCGAGTCTGGTTCAAGGGACAGCGGTTGTCAGGAATTATTTTGTCGAATTACCTACTATCTGAATGATGTATTATCAATATAAGCCCCTTTCATTCAAAAAAAAAAACACAAACCTTTGAAGCACTAATTACGGAGTATGAATAAGTAGATTTGATACTAGATACCAATAGATACCAAAATATAAAAGGCCTTTTGGTCTTGATATAACCAAAAAAAAGACAAAAGACAAATATGTGACATGTTTTTAAAAATTTCAAAAATGTGACCAACATCACAATTAAACCCTGGAGTGCAAAGTGACTACTGTCAAAGTGACTTCACCGCCACAGTGACTCTGACCACAGTGACTGCCCACCGGCCTCAGTGACTGT